CGTGTTACAATAGTTTTGGTCGATTTTTCTGTGTAGCCAAAGCCTCAGCCTTTTTTAATTTATTCTTGTGGTCACAGTGAGTACTAGTGGGAGGAAAGAATATGAAGCAACGGGCTTTTATGAACCTACTGCTACTCAGAAGGCAACTTCTCCCCTCTCTCACAGTAACCCACTTACAGTTTTCTTCCACTGCAGTCCCGGCACCAGAACTCACACACGCCAGCACATGAGTGAAACAGCATCTTCATCACAGATTTTCCTTTGTTAATGTAAGGACTTGCCTGCACCAAAAAGAAGAATCCTCCTTTTAGCATTTAAGGAGGGGGGAATTAACTTACCATAGAAATTAACTCCTTGGGAAATCTCTTCTTTTACCTATTGAACTTCCAGACTGGTTGGGAGAAAGGTGATATTTAAGCATATGTTCTTACCTTGATGAAGTTTCTCTGCGGCAGTTGCACAGCCTATTCATTCAGAACAGCTGGGTGGAATACTTTGTTTAGATGGTATGATTGCTTTTTAGTATAAGTCAGCAGAAAAAAATCCAATATGATCTTGACAAAATAAAACACTTCCTAAGACAGTGTAGGCCTATAGTATTTTTTCCCAGATTATTTAAATGAACAGAATTGTTTATTCTACTGATTGCATATGCCCCTAGGAAACCTCTCCATTCTACTCGGACTGATCTGTGGAAAATACTTAGCATCTGCTTCTCTCTTCTCACTGTTGAGATTTTTTTTTTCCTTCAAGATCAGCCGAAGATTCTCTGACCCAAGACAGTAAGCATGCCTGTATTTTCTCATTAGTACTTTTGATTTTGCTATTGTACACCCAAATCAGTATGCAGATATTTACATTAAATATTATCATTTAAAATCTAGGAACAGGCAGAACAATGGCAGTTTATTCTGCAGCAAGTGCCCCGCTGTGTGTCCTTCAACCCATAAATCTGGTCTGAATTTTAAACCGACGCACAGAAGCGCCTCACGACTGGAAGTCACCCATGTGATACTAAGAACAAGACAATTCACTCCTCCCACATGAGCATTCGTGCACCCACTCAAGTAGGTAACTGACCTGCTTATATGTAAAACACAGTAATTCAGACTGCTTCCTTCACAGACCTTAATGGTCTGAGAAGACATTTAGGTATTACTTCTCTAAACACTTGAGACAGTATTGACTGCATAGTCAGCAAATCCAATGTGTTTTTAGAAATCAACATCCTTGAAGAGCAGCGAATTAGCTGCAGTGTAGGAAAGCCTACCGGGCTACCAAGCAAACTGTAATTATAGAAGAAAAAAAAAAAAAAGACTAGATTTTGAAGATACACTTAAACTCATTGGTGAAAAACATTCAATGGTAAGAATACATACCTGCATGCAATTTCAACAAAAAGGCATGAATAATCTGGATGGTGTTTTGCTTCAGTATTGTGAAACTTGAAGTGAAACTTGTGGAGACCAGTGACGAGTGGTGTTCCTCAGGGGTTGGTACTGGGACCTGTACTGTTCAACATCTTTGTTGGTGATATGGACAGTGGGGTTGAGGGCACCCTCAGCAAGTTTGCCAATGATAGCAAGCTGTTTGGTGACGTAGACACGCTGGAGGGGAGGGATGCCACCCAGAGGGACCTGGACAGGCTGGAGAGGTGGGCCCAAGCCAACCTCATGCAGTTCAACAAGGCCAAGCGCAAGGTCCTACATCTGGGTCGGGGCAATCCCAAGCACAAATACAGGCTCGGCGGGGAATGGCTGGAGAGCAGCCCTGAGGAGAAGGACCTGGGTGTGCTGATTGACCAGAAGCTCAGCATGAGCCAGCAATGTGCAATCGCAGCCCAGAAGGCCAACTGCATCCTGGGCTGCATAAGAAGTGTGGCCAGCAGGTCAAAGGAGATGATTCTGCCCCTCTATTCCACTCTTGTGAGACCCCACCTGGAGTACTGCATCCAGCTCTGGAGTTCCCAACATAAGAAGGACATGGACCTGCTGGAGTGCATCCAGAGGAGAGCCACAAGGATGATCCGAGGGCTGCAGCTCCTCTCCTATGAGGAGAGGCTGAGAGAGTTGGGGCTGTTCAGCCTGGAGAAGAGAAGGCTCTGAGGAAATCTTATTGCGGCCTTCCAGTACCTAAAGGGGGCCTACAGGAGAGCTGGGGAAGGACTTTTTATGAGGACATGTAGTGATAGGACGAGGGGGAATGACTTTAAACTGGAAGAGGGCAGGTTTAGATTAAGCATTAGGAAGAAGTTTTTCACTTTGAGGGTGGTAAGGCACCGGCACAGGTTGCCCAGAGAGGTTGTTGAGGCCCCATCCCTGGAGGTGTTCAAGGCCAGGCTGGATGGGGCATGACTCTATGAAAGTTAATATAGTACACTGTTCGTGGCTTCCAGATTAAGTCTAAAAATTACATGTTCCTTCTTTTTTTCCTGAAACAGTTTTGTTTGGAAATATGTACAGGAGCAATAGCCTACACAAGAGACATATGTTATCTATATATACAATTTTCTTTTATTAACAAGGTATGTCATTACTGAACAAGGCAACTGGGAAATACAAGGACTGGACATATACATGAAAATTTTACAACTCAACAAAAAATTGGCATATGACTTATATACAGATGCTATTAATGAAGGCTACAACTCTACTGTATTTGATTAAACACAGTCCTAAGCACTTACATTATGAAAATATGAAGTTGATCATACAGAGGTCAAGTTCTGGAATCTAAAAATAATAACAATTTTAAAACTTCAAAACCTTCTATGGCCATCCATTTTACAGAACATCACTACAGCTTTTTCTACTACGATATACATGAAAGATTATCAAAAATATATTGATGGGTCTATCGCTAATCATGAATGTGTATATTTACATTAAGTTAGCAAATTCTTCACCAAATACTTTATATACAAAACTCAATTGCCCTTTGTGAAAGTCGTTAAAAAGTTAAAAACCATAGAAATGCCAGTTAGAAATAATGCATTCCAAAAATTGGACTTGTTTACAACTGAGAACAATTGAAAATAATTTATGAAAGAGTATGTCATTTTAGTACATGTACTCTCACAACACTTTAGTTCCAATACAGAGTAGCAGGAATTTTGTCTTGTGTGTTCTTTGAGTGGTAGCTTCTCTTCCACTAATGCTGCAAGAAAAAAAGAAAAAAATATTCTTAAGCAGTTTACCATGGGTTTTTAACAAGGCAGAAATAATTCAAGGGACCAATATTCTTTCCCCCATTCTCTATGCAGGAAGCCCTGTCCCCATTTGTGTTGGCCCAAATACTCAGAATTCTTATTTTTTACCCTTAGAGGCTACAAGGGGAAGAAAAAAAGAAAAAGAGGAGAAAACCAACAGCCTCTCTACTTTAGTGCTGTTCAGAATGTGCACATCCTTTTGCCAACATTGTTTTTGAGTATCATCTTGGCTGATTTTTGTATTTGACTATAATGCTTTTGCAGCATGCTTTGAACACCCCTAACAAAATCAGTCTTCTCTGCCAAACTAGAAACCACTTCAACCTGTCTCTCAATTAAAAAAGAGCTTAGACAGGAACCAGATGTTTGCTCTGCAGACACTTCTACACAGACATGAGCACCTAAGGAATTCTGCAATACAAAACATGGATGCCGAGTGAACCTACACATACTAAGGATTAGACAGCTACTGAAATAGGCACTCTCTTGGAATTATATTCCGCTCAGGTCCATCCGAGTACCAGAAATCTGTTTGAGAACACAGAAGCACAGTTCACAGTGCTTCCACGATGTGAGAAAATAGCAGACAGATCAATCGCTAAGGTCTCAGCTCACTTCAAGTGACAGGCATTATGGAAACAATGCTGTGCTTCTTCATTGAATCAAGTCAGTACAACACAATTGTTCATAATGCACCACAATAACTTTGTCAAAGTGCTGACACACATAACAAGCAAAATTAGATCTTGCTGTCAAATCCAAATGAAGTGGATTGAATTTCCCTTTTTATTCCTAGAGATACTGAATGCATCTTCTGTACTTCCTGTATGGAACCCCTATCTTCCAATTCCACCGAAGTCTCTCCATGTGCTATTATTTCACCTATATGCTATTCTTACTTATTCTTCAAACTCCATAATGACCAACTTTTTTTTTTTTTTTTTCTTAAAGATAATGATGGAATGACATGTCAACTACCTTTCATCTATGCAGCCACACTCCTAGTCTTGAAATCTTGTCCCCTCTTGTTTCAGACAGCCCTCCATTCTTTGGCTTTCCTCCTAAGTAGTTACTCTTTAACTTGTCTTTCAGGTCATCTTCCTTGTTCCTCTCAAATCAAGCTCACTGGGGGAAGGGGTATAACATCTTTGGCCTTCTCTTTTCTCTATCCTATTCCTAAGCCACTTTGCCTGAAACATGAGATCCAGTTATCTTCTCTATATTGGTGATTTCACACAAATCAAACTCTTTCTCCAATTTACTGCTTCTCTCCACACATTTTCACACTTGTTCACGTATATCTATCTAGCAATGCCACCTTCTCCAAATTCAAGTACTTTTCACCAGTTTTTCTCAACAAACTTCGGCAATCTGAGCATCCTGCTTCGGTTACAAACCAATGACAAACGCTCAAGTCTTCAAACCTTTCTTGTCCCTACATCTTTTGCATGCAATACCTGTATCAGCATTTTGCAAGTTTTCTGCAGTCTTTCTGAAATGTGTTCTACTTAGTCCGCTTGTATGTCTAAACCTCTAATCCAGGCCCTGAGCCTTTCCTTCAAAGTTGTGTTCATCTTCTGATTCAGGTCACTGGACATCCACAAAAACAGTGCTGATGGCACAACTTAAAGTGAGATGTGGGAGCAGAGAATAACCGAAGCTACACAAGCAGCTCTGCTAATGTATATGAAACCATAGTTTATTAATCTCCCTTTCATTAACAACTCAACCTGTGTCTGATAATCTTCAGTCTAGTTCTGTTTTTGTAACTACTTCCTATCTCCTATTTCGTAAACTCTCTAGAACCAGGATTGTATATTGTTTGTTTGTAGAGTACCTGGAACTGAAATATTTACAGCAATAATTTAGGATCCTTTGCATTGCAGTGATGTGATTGTTATCACAGACACCAAATCTGTACAGGAATTTACTCATTAACAGGGTAACTTTAAGGTTTCTCAGATCTTACCAGTTTAATTTGTGCTCTGTCGCTGGACTTTTGGTCCAATGCTCTGAGTTTCTTCTTCCGGATTTGGGCGTTTCCCTGCACTAATGCCAGTACCCAGGGCCGTTCTTCCTGATAATTTAAAACCAGTATTGACATTAAGACTCTACTGTACCTTCGTGTGTTCAGGAAAAGCGTTTCAATTTTTTTGTTGTTCTTTAAATTACCTGCTTGCAGTAAGTGTGATTGCTGATTGTCTCCATGAGCATAGTGTAAGATACTACTTGCTTGACAGTAACCTGTTCAGATACAGTAGATATTTATTATAATAAATAAAATTTAGAATTGCCAGCAAATGTACATTCTTTACAACAACAAAAGGGAGCCCATTGATTTATTTTCCATCATCAGAAAAAATCCTGCCAGAAACCATCCTGAATGCAAAAGAGTTCTTATGCAACAACAACAAAAAAGCCTCACGGCACTCTACAGCAGTTAAATATATATATATGCACTTATATATGTACAGTGAACAATATCATCTGCATACGTATTTATTCATTATATTTGCAACAAGCAGAATGTTTATATATCCAAACACTTTAAGTTGTTATAATTTTTAACGTTTGTTCTGCCAAGTCTCCTCATCCTTTTTATAATTCTGTTCTAGCAATACTAGCGAATCCTTAGCATAAGTAAGCTGCGGGAAAAAAATTGCCAGAAACTTAAAGAAAGATGTAAACTATGTTCTGGTTCACGTAAACTATCCACTGTCAACCTTGATACTGAGCGCTTTGCATAAATAGTGCAAATTAGCAAAAGCAGTTGCAAGGTTTCTTATTCTGAACAGTTGTGACGTTCTGCTTATGTTCTGGATGCTTAAACAAAACACAGATTATAGTCCTTCATGATCAGTAAACACATAACCTGTTAAGGCTGCAAAGAAAGAAACAGTTGTGCTAAATCTGATTGCAACTTTGATCTATCACAAACCACAGCTTTACTGTATAAAGTAACAAAAATTTGCATCCACAATATGAGCATTTCCACACAAAACTGTGGAAATTTATTACATATGGAAAGAGTGGTAGTAAAATCAAGGAAAAGATAACATGCAAATTTTGTTATAAAATACACTAAGTGAACTTCTTTCTTTCAGTATCTTTCCTTTAAAGGAACCTAGGATAATGTTTATGAATTTTTGTTTAGTCACACTTGTGATCCCTCCCACTCAAAACATACAAATACTGTTCTAGATGAGCATTTTAGAGATAAAAGTGACAAGACAAGCAAGTTTACTCTAAGAAATAACTTTTATGTTTCAAGAACAGAAACAAGCCCGGTTCAAGTCATAGAGAGCGGCTGTCACCAAAAATCTATCCACATTATTCTGATGTTACGTCTGTTTTTCCACAGTTGCAAGGATTTGGAGATCCTCTACAGACAGGCACTGCCATAATACCTTGCTGCTGAATTCCACTTGCTCCTGTATGAGAGTCTCCCAGGGCACATGGCTGAACAACTGTGTGACCATCACCAGTTCCCAGCTGAGCTCCTAGGGAGGCAGGGAAAAGACTTAAACATAAAAGAAGATACAATTCCAGTTCTGGAATTTTAAATGTCAGGGGTTTTTTTCCCCCCCTCTTCAAAAGGTAGAATTTGATTGTTGCTTTTTTTTTAAACCACCTTAGAACACCTCTAAAGCCCTAATGCTTTTGTCTTTCCAAATTCACAGTTGCAAATTCAGATGAATACCTAGTAATCTCCTACAAAATGGATCTGTTTCTGATGTGAGAAGAGGAAGTACGTGTATATATTTAAGTATATATATATATATATATATACATACTTTAAGGATAAAAGAGTGCATATAATGTTAATTTTTTAAAGTAAGCCCTTCCTATCTTCTAAATCTCTGAACTTAAAAGAAAGAAGTCTAGATTTTAATCCTTTGGGAGGAATTGTATTGGCTGAGAACAATAAGGTCCATCTTCCTCCACAATCTGCTTCTAACCTTGACTACAGCCTAACCCAGTACATTTCCAGGTGTTCATACGCTTGCGTTCAGCATGGTTTTAAATGGTTTGCAAAATGCATTGAGTGTTTGATCCTTTCCCTCCCTTATGAACATCTATATATATATATATGTATATATATATATATATATATACATACTTTAAGGATAAAAGAATGCATATAATGTTAATTTTTTAAAGTAAGCCCTTCCTATCTTCTAAATCTCTGAACTTAAAAGAAAGAAGTCTAGATTTTAATCCTTTGGGAGGAATTGTATTGGCTGAGAACAATAAGGTCCATCTTCCTCCACAATCTGCTTCTAACCTTGACTACAGCCTAACCCAGTACATTTCCAGTTCTGCTGTATCCTTTTACAGTGAGGAGTCCAAACTGTACATAGTATTCAAGATATTGAGGATTTATACAATGTCAATAATGTTCTACTTTTTTTCTTAGTAACTAGCTAATGCTAGTCTTTGTATGTTACAATAAGAACATGAAGTCTAAAGTAATTTTCATCAAAACTGTATGATAAATTCTGTATTAAATTTTTTCAGACACTATCCACCATATTATTGTTGACATTATGGTAGAATTAAATTCCAATAAGCAATCTAATGCTAGCATTAGAAAATTAACAGTTCTGACTCAAAAATTCACAAGTCACTCCTTATTACAAATAGCAGGATGCTTGTAGACTTCTAGAAGAAAATCACATTCAAATGCTTTTGAAATTAAACTGTTTGATACATGTTAATAAGTAATTTCCAGGGGGGGAAAAAATAGGTTAAAACACTCTTGCGTGTCTGAGAAAAAAAAATCTAAATACGTCTATACACAAATACTATCGAATTTAGTGAATAAATTTGAAAGTGTTCGTGATTTGCACTGGAAATTGTCTTCTGAAAATAGCTCGATCTCATAATACCTAATGCCAAAGGCATTATAAAAGAAGCTTGTGCAGTTCAGTTCCAATAATTCTAGGTATTAAAAGAATTTGACTGACCTCCTGTACTACCACAACCAGAAATGCTTTCTCCTGGTGAATAGCCCATTAGGCCACCATTTCCATTTCCATTTGGATTAGAAGGCACTGTTGCAAGAAGACCTAAGCAACAAAATAAAATATATAGCCATAAAGAAAGACAGCAAAAAAACATTAAGTGCAGCATGCTTTTTTCCTCATGATAGTCAATTCTCCACCATCGCCTTGAGTGGTTTACCTTTATAAACAGAACAACATCTCGCTGTCTTGCCCAATTCTGGGATCTTGCCAAGTCATTTTAGTTCACAATTACTTAACAGGCATTTTCTACATAATATTCTGCGTAACTTTTCCAATATTCATTATTTACATGTATTCGCTCTGTTGCATTGAAGTGCAACACATCCTGAGTCAATATCCAATATCCGAACATACTGACTGCTTACACCCTCCTGAGCAACACAAGTGCATGTGGTTTACCTCTCAGAGCAAAGGGGACAGCCTTTCCTAACTAGGAGGAATGCTACCAGAGGTTGCACTGGTCTCTATTTGAACAGCATTTGCAAATGTTGCAAATGTGGTTGAAGTTACGAACCACATTTAATTTTGAATCACTGATATTAAAACCTATCTGTACAAGAGTGTCTGAACACACAGAAGACCCAGTTTAACCAAAAAAACTTCCAAAAACCCACAGAAATTCTTTTCTGCATAAGATATGGAAAGAGTCACTCCACTCAAACTCCTTCTTCCCTTTCTTGGTTACATTTAATATTTTCATTTATTTGGATACACAACCTTGGTCACTACACTGAGCTCACACCTGATTACCACTACTACATGACAAAATTATTAATTGCTAGAAGGTGAGAGAAGTTTTCAAATAATTAAAGCCGACAGCCTATAACCATACCCAGTCCTCTGTATCGTGAAAGCTGCTGGTAGATTTGTTTCATCCTCTCAATATTCAGACGGCTTGCCTCTGCATGATTTACCATTGGTTTGGGATAATTAACTCCTATAATACATTTTGCAGCCTTCTGGACACTCTCTGGGGCATTCCAAGGATCATAGATGTATTTTGCAGGGAAACCTCTAAGTACTGGCAAATAACGTCTTAAAAAAAAATAAAAAGGTCATTTTAAGTATAAAGCCACTTGACAGTTTAAGCAACAGCCATGAATGGCTGCAATTTCTGAATTGAGTTACCTGATATAATCCCCATTTGGGTCAGTTCTTCTGCCAAAACCCACTGGACAGTAGCAGTGAAAAAACTGCTGAAAGAAGGAACTACAGGATAGCCACATCCAGCTTCCAGCATTTACACTCCAATCTGCATCAAGTAAGAGCTCTTCAAAGACCTTAAGAAATTAGAGCAACAAGTTAGTCTGAACATGCCACACCTCCGAGGCACCTACTTTTTCAGGAATTGTTCTGCGTTTTGGATTTCAGCAGAGAAAACCCAGCTCTCCAAAGGAGCAACGCTCTCTTACCTGGCAACATTCACAGAAAGCTCAGTACGGCACTGCAAATACTTAACCTAAATGCCAAACCCAAGAACAAAAATGTGTGATGGCCTATTTGGCTTTTACTCTGTAAAAAACCTTGGAGACATCTCAGAAAGCTACAACCAAAAAGTTACACATCCTTGCATAAACACATTCTTAAAAAGGATGGCTGGAGTCTGATTGCTTGCCAGTGGCATTTTTTGCTTTCAGAAGAGTTTCCTCATCACGTTACAACTGAGTAAACTTTTTGTTCTTCCAGGAAACATACAATGCACATTTCAAACTCAAATGGAGAGTCTGAACCTGCACAGCACCTTTCACTATGAAAGGAGTCCCAAGAGTAGAATTCAAGAGTTTCAGGGTAGCACAAACATTCAGAAGTTGTATTCTTGAAGCACAATAGTTTATCTAGTAAGTCACAGTTTTGAGGATACACACTTAAATTCCCGGAGGTATATGAACCACCAAGCACGCTGAAGAATGGTGGGACAAATAATGAACTCTGTTCTGAAGACAGTCTTCTGTGGTAATTGCTACCCCTACTATATTAAAAATTATATTTAAAAATATTAAAAATGCATTTAATATTATATTAAAAATAAGTTGAAGTTTTGAGGGTTTTACTTTGAATCTGGAGCTCAACAGTTGTGAAGCATTCAAGTTTCCAGCATTGATTATTTTTTAATTAACATAAGATAATTAACATAAGATAATACTAACTTGTATAAAAAGAAGTTTCTCTGCTTAGTCAGATGACTAGGAATACAAGCTAACAAGAAAGAGAAGCCTTATTCTTTGGAAAAAAAAACCCAAACATTCAAGTACCTTTTATAAAAAGTGCACTGAGAAGTAGTTTTCAAAACAGATACTTATTTAATACATACTTTTTCAAGTTCCAGTTTTCTTTTCAAACTTGCGTCGTCTCCAAATGTTCCAAAGAAACCATCATCTTTCTTCATGCTAAGACACTAAAACTTCACATCCTACTATTGCCATGCAACTTCAACTAATATTATTCCAATATAAAGTCTAAATAAGGTAATACCATTGAACAAGAGTATCTCTTTCTACATATATTCAATAAGGCATTCATTCTACAGTATACAGTGAATATGTGTTCCAAAAGTATCTTTATCTAAATATCTGCAACTATTTGGAAGAAAGTTTGTTTTAGAAAACAAGATTTATCTTCAAAACACTTTTAAGAAATGTTTGAAATAGGAAGTGACTAATAATGTAACACAACCTTTAGACGAACATTAAGTGTTAGCACTCAACTGTTCCACTAGATGCTGCCATGTAATAAGACTTTAGAAATAACATCGTCACGGAAGGCCAGATTAACTTTTGCTAGCTCAGCCGTACAAATTAAACGTCCTTCCACTGCACAAATCTGGGCCCTCCATATACGTGTCTTATTTTAAGTGTAAGAACAAGTTGGCATTTATCTGTAATATACAGCTTTGTTGTTTGCCCGAGCTACCCATGTATGTGCATCTTTGATGTCTTTATCTAGGAACTGCAAAAAGAAAATTCCTAAAGCAGCTTATGCTGTTGTGTAACCAAGACACTATTTTTTTTTTTTTTAAATGAAAGGTATTTGCTCACAACTGATTTGTTAAGAAAGGTGAAATTTTGTAAGATTATATACACTTATAAATATGAGGTCACAATCCTGATGGCAAGTAAATTCTTTTTTAGATTTCAAAAATAAAAAATTATTTTTAATTGATTATCACAGCTCAGTAAAAGATGTGCTACCCTTCTAAAAATGTAAAACTGATTCAAAAGCTGAGATTAAATTATTCCATTCTTTTCAAAAGACTGACATTTGTAACCTGAACTTCAGCACTTATTGGATATGCACATATAAATTAATTACACTGAAAATTCAGTCAAATCATGTTGCCCATGCTCACGCTTCTAACATTGGGTGAAGGGACAGAAATTCCTGAAATGAGATTCTCAGCGTTTAGTTTTCTCCCTTTATACCTTCCCGTGGTGCTTTCCCTTTGCAGGGAAGCAGACGCGAGATGTGAACAGAACCTGTTCACACAGTACAAGAGGAAAGAAATTTCAGTTACAAGAGTAATCCACATTTATTTGCAAAGATTTATGAAGAAATAGCAAATTCAAAAGCATTGTAGACCTATTCTGACTGCAAGAAACACACTCATATTCCAGTGAAAAGGGGACATTCAAGGACGAAAGCTTCAGTACCATTGGTTTATCAGAACCAATTTAATTTTGGCCACAGTTTAAGGTTTAAAATTCAACTTCCACCACACAGCAACTACAATTCTAGAATGACTACCTGAAACTTTACCAAGCACTTTAAGAAATTCAAGAATAAGAAACAATACCTTCATTCCTTCTTCCCAGCTAATCCAGAGGTCACCTCGAGTCAAAAAGCATGCTACAGCATGCCGGGCTAAATGGTGAATCCAACCTTCTTGACGAAGCTGTGTCATAATTGCATCAATCCAAGGAAAACCTGTCCTGCCTTCTGCCCACTTGGCCAAAGCCTCAGGATTCTTATCCCATGGAATTTGAACACAGATAGGGTTCCCCTCCATTTTATCAAACCGTGGATTGTTAGTCGCCGCTGTGTAGAAAAATTCACGCCATAACAGCTGGCCATAGAGGGAGAGGGGAGGGGAGCTGTTCTTTTTTACCTGAAGATCATCATTAAAGGAAAATACGTTATTAGGAAAAGTAGTAGGGAAAAATCACGGCATCGAAGAATGTGTATCTGACTATGTAGAAATTATACCTTTTTGTACAGATCCGTTAACTTGAAATAAAAGAGACGACAGGACAAACAGCCAAAGCGGAGGTAGGGACTAAGCCCTGTAGGACTTGCCAGAAGGGAATTTGCATTCATTCGTGGTCTTTCAAAATTTGCTACCCAAGCCTTAAAAAAAAAAAAAAAAACCACACACAAAACAAAAGCCACACAGCAATATCAGTCTACAGGCTAGGTAGCAACTTGTAAACATAAAGGGAGAAATCACGCATTGTCTATAACTGAATCCAGATGCTGAACAGAATCATTTTACCTACAATATCTAGGAGCTCCTCTTGAATCAGCGAAATCTCTAGAAGATAATTCATTTCAATGCAGAAGGCATGAACTGTCTTCCAGAACTACCTGTCCCTTTCTTTTAAATAGAGGAACCCTAGACAACTAGCAAAAGTTGTAAGACGTTCAAAGTTATAAACTTCAAAGTTATAAAAGTAAAATTCCCTCCAAAGAAAAAATAATTAATTTTTTTGAGGAGAAAAAGGTACAACAGACTTTCTCTAAAATTCAAATGAAAGACAACCTGTTATCACCTTTTAAAGCTAAGAAACAGCAACTTGATTTATATAATTATATCGAGGCCTTGAGTTTCAACTTTGTGGTTTTGATTTTTTTAAAATGACTTGCCCAATTCCTTTTATATTTCATTGCAAAGAGCAACTCTGTTTCCCAGATATATCATACTTGCCATGATTTGAAACATACCTTTCGTTCTAAATGTCTTTCCAATCGCGTGAGAGCTTCTGTTTCTCCCCCTGGCCATACTGCAGAAGGCAGACCATCTGTGTCAAAACCTGAAAACAAATTGCAACAAGGAAATTCCTTGTTTGCTTATACTGCAGGGCAACAAAATCCTAGCATATTGATACTTGACTACATTTTACTCTATCTTGGGAATTGGACACACAACGAAGTTTTAAAACAGTATGCAAACAAGTTTTATCAAAGCACATTCAATACCTCCAATTTGCAGCAAAAGCCAATTTTTACTTTTAGATTAATTTACAAGTTTTACATGCTGAATGGTCTTACTTCAATTGCACTTCTGTTTTTTGCACAAAGAAAGTAAACATTCTATGATTTTTCACATTATTTTCAAGTTCTCAGCTCTGCAAGATGTGGGCTACCACAAAACCACTTTTTTTTAATTACTACTAAGAAGCAGCAACTGCTATTGTAATTTACAGAATGTCTAAAAACTTCTTCTATCAAGTTAAAGGCATAAGTGTTATCATCAGAACATTCCTAGGTTTCATTGCCCTTGACTTAAATAACAGATGGGGATTATTGTCAATTTGATGACAAACACATACTTGAGCTGCAAAAGAAAGATGAAAAGAAGGTAATAAGATTTCTTCCACACCCCCACACTTCCCCAAGATTGTTCACCAGGTGCATGAGACAACATGTTTGCCTACAGTTTAACCTCCATATAGTGAGATCTTCTCTTCTTAAAAAGGCTTTAAAAGCAAGGTCTGTTGTATGAGAGTTCAAATGGACTACACAGAGCAGCCAGAGCTTAGCCAAAATCTGTACATACCCTTTTGTTAGCAATCTGGAGGTCATACCACATTTGCTTGTATTTTGGGACGGGGTTGGGGGGTACGGGGAACAGGAAAGACAGGGAGGGATTCACAGGACAATAGCTTGATACTATTTCTTAAAATTAAATTTACAGAAATAAGATTTTTTTTTTTTTTAAGAAGCTCCTGAAATAATTACTTCCCTTATTTTTTTTTTTTTTTACATTCAAGACAAAAGGTTTTTTTAATTACCTTGTAAAATGACAGATTAATGATGTGAAGCACAAAGATACCAAATGCATTTAATATAAAATGAAGTATCAAAGACTATTAGTAGTTTAATGATTATCTGGTATCGTGGGAAAATGGCTATGATTTATTACAAGAAGCCAAACAGTACTTAGTGTAGTTTTGATCTATCTGACCTCCCATTTAAAAGAAAACAATTAGAGTTGATTATCCTTTTTTGTTCCTTTTGTATGTCATAAATGACATCAGTTTAACAAGTAACCATAAGTAGAACCTCTCTCATGGTTATTTTATACTTTTAGTGGTAGATTACATCTTACTTGTTTCACAATGTCAAAGCAATCTTAGAACATACCTAGCTCTTCAAGTGATGGGACACCGTATTTCTCATCATGGTCATCAGAAACTGGAGTAGTACATTTTTCCATTACTTCTGGCGTTATAGTCTCCACTGGCATCTCCAGTGGTTCCATTCTACTAATTAGGGTCTGGAATCGCTTGTAAGTAAGAGGAGGCTGTCCTCCATTTAATTCTATTATTCTGGATTGAAAAAAGAAAATAAGTATGTCAAACAATAGTATATAACAATTTCCTTTTTAAATAAAATATACACACTTATATGCACACAGAAATATCTTCTTACATGCCTCTAACATGTTACATAAAAATCACAGATATACATGGTAATCCAGACAGCTTGAACTTTAATTTTACCATCCTTTCCCCCCCCAAATAGGAAGACATATAAATTAACTGTTTATGACCAAGTCAATTATTCTTCATTCCTGGGTTGAGGAAAATCCCTCAAGAATAAGTAATGAATATGGACAGCTCAAGGCAAAGAAAAATACAGATCAGCAAAGCAGATGACAGATCACAGCTACATAAAGATACATCCAAGTCACCTTCAAGACTATGCTATTCACATAAAAAAATACATTTTTCTATTCTGGTATGAAGAACAGTATTCAATATTACAACTGTCTTAATATGGGGAAAAAATAAGCTGTAGTTTATAGACAGTGACTGTTGTAAAAATACACAATTTCCATATTCTGCATTGTCACCTTAAATATATCTAAAATCTCAGAAACAAGAAAACTTCAGAGAACTAATTTACAAAGTGGTAGATAGAACCAACTGTTTATTTGGGGAGGGGTGATTGGGCACGAACAGAAGAAAAAGAATTTGCAATTTAGGATTAAAAAAAAAATCACGTATTTATTTCAAAACAGTAAATAATTCCCTTCCCCTTTTCTCCCATATGTCTAGCTGCCTCTCACATACGGGTTTTTAACAGAATTAAATGGGCATCTACCACAATAAATTACTCAATGTTATGAGAAGCCAAGTCATACTTTTGAATAGTTTGTGGATTATGTTTCTATAATAGGGAGCTAATACTAACCCGTTTAAATATATCTGTGGAAAAATATAAACAAGACAATAAGTAAGGCAATGCAGGGATATCAAATAATCCCCAATTATTTATTGGATACATAACTGATAGGAAACGGTTCTTGAAAAATAATGGACTTTCTGCTAACTTCTCTACAGCAAGTGAAATAAGGACAAAACAGTCTAACAAAACAACTAAACAACAACAGATCTTATTTGGGAAAAATTACAGGCACGTCTGAGTATCTTCATTATAAAGACAGACAATTAATATGACCATTATTTTCAAAAGAACCCCAAATCAAAACTGTATTTCAGATACAGTTATGTATAATTTTTTGGAGTTGCAAAGTTCTATTCAGTATGTAATAAAATTTGGATGGATGGATAAAAGAGAAACATAAAACAAATGTGTAGTCTTCCTAACTATAAAGTGCTCTGCTTAGAAAGTAGCACACAATATCTAACCAAATACTATGTAAAATCCATATTTTTTTCCTTTTAAAATCAGAGATAGTGGTAACTTACTTGTCTAGGTCATATAATGTATGGGAAATTCGAACAATGACCTCCACTCCAGCTTCACTAGCCAGCTTCTTAATTGCTGCATCTCTTTCCTTCCCAAATGGTTCAGAATCGTATTCAATAGAAAGTTTAGCAATATTCCATTCCTGCAACAGAAAACAAAAATGTGGTCCTTCAGCAACTCAGCTGCTTGATGGAGGGTGACCAAAAGGACAACGGGAAGGACAGGGACAAGATGGAACACCAGCTTTTACCTGCAGATAGTTGTCAGAGATACACAATTGCCCAAAATACATTTAGACACCCAGACTCACAAAAATAAAGTCCAACGTTTTGGCATCTAAGTAGGAATCAGGCATAAAAAAGACTATCTGTCCCATCACTGTGGGTGCACACAGTAATGGGAAAACTTCTGTGCAAATTTTGAAAATTCAGCTCTAACTTTAGGCTTCGTATACCTTAAGAGACACAACAGAAGGGAAAGATGACAGAGACTGTCTTCTGGACATTAATCAGCACCAGTATCTTGCTCTGCAGAAAAGCTTTTCACATATGCCTGTCAGCTTTAACAACAGAACTGAAGGGGGGCTTTTTATATATATAAAAAAATATAAATAAATAATCTGTTTCCTAAAAAGAGGACACCTTCATGTGTAGTATCCTGTATGTCACAGATGCTGTTACCAAGGCCAACAGTAACAGGTGGGGCAAAAGCAGTGAAGAAAGGGATCAACTAATGGCTACGGCTTCTGCAACAGTAGGAAACTGGAAAGATAAAGTATGCATAGAATGATCCTAGAAGCCATCCAGCCAATCAGCCTCAGAGAAATGCCTTTCTAATCCCTCAGAATCTTAATCAGTTGATTTAAGCACACCAGCCAGACTATTTCAGAGAACTGGATTTACACCAAAGAGACAAGCGGCACTCTACACTGTTCACTTTGGGTGAACACTTCTGAACACTAGCTCTCTCCTAGATGAAGCCCAGGTACGATCCTGAGGATAGGCAATCCCAAGGACTGCTTGCTCGTTGAAAGAAGGCTTGGCTCCTTCCATCATTAAGTCTGCCAAGACCAACCCAGTGTGCCCTCAATCCTCAAGCAACCTCCTACACGCTCATACAACATTTATTTCCCATTTCATAATGTAAAACCACTATCTGACAAGTTGCAGCAGATGTTTTCTCTAAATCTTTTCTTTCCTCTGGCATATTGAAAAGAAAACCATAAAAAAGGTGTCCGAGAGCCAGAGCCACGTCCCCATGGGAGCCAAGGAACTCTGAGACAAGTGCTACATGATGTGAACACATCATCATGATTTAGGCACATAGAAGCATGAACACAAATCGCTTTGCACATACTGCTGGATGCTTTTAGCAACACTGATGCATTTAAAGAACTAGAGATTGTTCCAATTCTATTTTCTTTATCAAGCCAGTCCCAAAGAGCTAGAGATACAGAGCAGAACAGAAAGAGAGTAAGGCAAGAACCAACTAAAACTTGACTGGTTCAAGTTAACCAACAGACTCCAAGTGGGGGCCCACTACTAGTGTAAGTTGCATCTCCACAGTCAGGTGGAACCACCATCCTCAAGTTACTGTGAAAAAACCACCCCAAACAAACAAAACCCACCAAAACAGAAAAAAAAAAAAACTAAAAAAATTTTGCGAAGACCTGCAAAGTCCACTGGTAAAAATATTCTGTCTCCATGCACTACTCCAGAGCATGACAGCCTACGCTGCTATCGGCAGCACTGTTACTTAGTACTGCTGAAAACACGACACTGAATTCGGTGTCTTAAGGGAAGCAAAGCTGCTCTGAAGGACTAGAAAGTAGAAAGCAAAGTTATACATACATACACACACACAAATGTAAGAGCCTAAACGTCCTTGAGGCCTTTTGCAAGGATAAAGATAGATCGGTGCTCTACCTTTAGAAGGAACTGTCCTTCAGCCTGTGAAAAGGAGAGCCGTACAAAGAAACAGCTGTGAAACATTCATCCCCAGGAAATCCACAGAAGCTGGCATCTGTGATAGAGTCTCGTGTCAGGAGCCCTACAGAAGTTCCACTGTCTCCTACCATTATTTACTTAAAGTTATCTTCTCCCAGGCAAAAAACATCTACATGTGTTCTTCAGGGTCAGGATCATCGCTCACCTTTGAGACATGAGGATGATCTGAAAAGCTTGGTTCAGTGTTATATGCCCTTCACTGCACTGCAAGTGCCTAAGGTACAGCTACTGCTCTGGCAAAAGAGACCGTGAGATTAATCATGCGACAGATGCGAGTTCCAGGTAGTCTTCAGCCAAAAGTTTAAGAAGTCCTCAAAAACTTCAACAATGTCTCTTCTTCATTCAAGGATAGAGGATGGTCTGTAAAGCTCCGCAGTGAACAAATACATGATCATAGAATCACAGAATGGTTTAGCTTGGAAAGGACTTTGAAGATCATCAAGTTCCAACCCCCCTGCCATAGGCAGGGGCACCTCCCACTAGACCAGGTTGCCCAAGGCCACGTCCAGCCTGGCCTTGAACACCTCCAGGGATGGGGCCTCAACAACCTCTCTGGGCAACCTGTGCCAGTGCCTTACCACCCTTAAAGTGAAAAACTTCTTCCTAACGCTTAATCTAAACCTGCCCTCTTCCAGTTTAAAGTCATTCCCCCTCGTCCTATCACTACATGTCCTCATAAAAAGTCCTTCCCCAGCTCTCCTGTAGGCCCCCTTTAGGTACTGGAAGGCTGCAATAAGATCTCCCCGGAGCCTTCTCTTCTCCAGGCTGAACAGCCTCAACTCTCTCAGCCTCCTCTCATAGGAGAGGTGCTCCAGCCCTCGGATAAAAACACCTTTTGGTAAATTAGGGAACTAGAAGACATAGTCAGATGCGAATGTTCTTTTTTGATAGCTGTATGTTATCTATATGACAAGTTATTTTCATTACCTTCTCAGCAGTAAAACTAATATCCTGAAAACGTGGCACTCCAATGCTGTTCGGCATAGAAAGATCAGCCTAGCAGCAAGATCTGAAACAGGAGTTGTCAAAGTAACCACTAATGTATTTAAAACTTGTTACAGGTCACTCAAATCCAGAAGGCAAAAACACAGAACAGCAAGATCTTTGCCCCTATTCAAATGCAATCAAACCGAATTTGGCAGGCAGATATAACAAGCTTGAATATCTGGGGGGTTGGCAAGCAGCAACTAATGCTACAGTACTCCTGCAGAAAATTCTGCGCCGAGGGGAAATCAAGAGAAGACTAGTCAGAGTACCATCCAGTTAGCACTTCACAACTAAAGCACAAGAATGAAGATGGAAATGTGAGTTTTGGTTAAGTTTTCAGTTTGGTGTTGAAGACTTGGGAGTAAAAACAAGTATCTCTTCCCCTCCCCCCCTGCCCAAGTCTTGCTTGTCTCAGTCACCTCAATCCAGTCATTCCATAAAAACTTTTAAAATTGATCTGCAAAGTGTTCATTTTTACTATCCTATTATTGTTACCTTAAATACCCTATTATCCATGGAAGACAAATTAATATCAGTAACAACCCCTCACAGCTTTAGTTCGCTTAATAATAAGACCCTTTCCCACAAAAGCCTTTAATTTTGACTAGAAATTGCTTTTTGCCTGCACTGTGCTTTTACTATAGAAAAAGCTTATTAAACCACTTTTAATGGCCAAAAAGCAACTAGAGCAGATATCTGGCCTAAATAAAACACTGCTTTTACAGGTCAGGCTTTCAACCTGGATTCACATGCACAGAATTGTATTTCAGTATTTCAAAGAGAACGTGGGAAGGAAAATTTAGTAATATAAAGCACGTACATTTAGCAAACCATTAGAAATCAGTTCCATTTCTGGAACTGTAAAAACCAAAAACTGTAAATTCTAAGAGCAACTTAGTTCAGTTGGTGATACGCACATTAGAGGGGGGAAAACCCAAATCTAACAAAAACAACCTTAAAGAGAAACTGCAAGGATAGTTAAGTATTTGCATCGATAACAACTTGCACTGAAGTATATAGTACAATAAATATTCCTAGTTGAAATTAGTTTGTCAGTCCTATTTATGGGCAGAAACAACAGCTGCAAGGTAGCATTTACCTTAAAAAGTCTGGGGAAAACATCTGCTGGCTGTCCACGAATAACAAACAAACGTGAATTCAATTTCCGTAGATTGGCATCAAGATCCTCAAGACATTGAAGCAGGAATCTGCAAGGAATTTTACAAAAACATTTATTGTCTGAGGCAAACTAGACAATTTTACAATAGAGGAAGGGAACTGAGGAACAATCCAATGAAGATTATCAGACCTTCAGTATTTGGTGCATATTTGGGTGATCCATGCATGTTCACATCCTAATTACACTTAGCTTACAGTAGTTCAATACCATATATACCATATAATATATTGAATGATACATAATTCAGAAAAAAAACCTGCACCATCTTTTAAGTTTTCACCTCAACACTATTCAACTCTGGAATGGACGAAAACATACTCAAGTCTTAACTAAAACTAGAAGTATCTTGCCACTTTAAAGAAAAAAAAGTACACCACACACAAAAAAAATCCCAAACAAACAAACAGGCAATCAGCTGTTGGCATACTGCTACTAAACTTAATCCAAGTCCTTCTTACAACACAGTAGCCTGAACTGTTGCTAAAAACAGCATACTAGAGGACTACATGGTCATAACTATCCCTTTGGCCTTCTTTTATAAAAATAACCCTCTATATAACAAAGTTTCATGCATCTTGGCTGTAACCTCATCTGAATTATTTAATGAGCAAGTCAGCAAACAAGGGAATAATTAAAAAAAAGGCAGGGGGAGGAACAGGGTGCTGCAAGTTTCTAAGAGGAACAGGTAGTTGCACAAAAGGTGTTAAGACAGGTTCACATATGCAAAGATTTATTAGTGCGTTCAGTGACTAAAAATAACTCCTATGGTGAAAGTCGTTTAGGGGAGGAAATAAAAACAAAAGGACAGAGGAAAACTGGAAACTCTCCCTTGTGGCCAGCCAGAGAGCGATTCTGAGGGTCCCCAGAGGAGTGCCCTTCCCCTGGACTCCTTTCCAGTGTAGCAACTGGCTGCCCCCCAGTAATTTTTCTTGCAGTAACAATATCGTTTTCACCAGGAGCTGCTCAAAGCTTGTTGGCTGTTCTTACTTACAATGCTGTTGGCACTCACCAAAGCGCGTGTTGATCAGGGCAGCTGCTGAGTCAGAGCCTTGCCGGTCATTAACCTCTGTGCACACACATTATTGGATCCCCTGCCATAAACCAAAAGCTACACCCAAAGCAGGGGAAAAAAAGTCATGATTCCCACACTGCAGGCCATTCTTCCTGAGAGTCTGCTGTAACGACACTACGTGCAGGTGCAAGGCCATGAGGATAACGCCACAGGAGCATCAGCCGAGACCAAGGCAGGGAAAGCAGTGCCACCGAGACCTGGAGATACTGCGCCCGCAGCCTGGGTGAAAAGATGCAAGGCTACCAGGGAAGGGCAGGCTGCACAACTGCAAGCACCCAGGGCGTTACAGAGACAAAGGCGCCAAGCAACCAGGTTTACTAAAATCAGGAGTTCATAAAACACCTAGGTTTTTAAGAACGAATCCGAAAAACTAACCTGTTGTAACAAAAATGCAACACCTTTTAGGAGGGATAGAGCATACATGACTGTTGTAAACCTACCAACATTTTTTTTATCTATTGCTAAATCTCTAGGAAAAAGTAAGTGATGCCTACCTAACACACATTGCCTCCAACTTGACATGGAAAAAAATTGTAAAAAATTAATATATAGAAAGCTGGCAGGAAATCCCCCTAGCTGCTTTTAAATGTCAAAAACGTGTGGCTCACTTGACCTGCAAAGTTAACAGAAAGCAAGTCTGAGAGGAAGCCAGTGCACAAGAATACAGCTGCTTCTTGGCTGGCAACTATGTTTATATGTTTAATGACTGGAACAAGCCAAGAACATCTAATTCTCTCCCTTTGATAAATTTTATTTTGAAAAAAACTCCAGAGTAGCGAGATCGTGAAGGATATGTTGTATCTAATAAGAAACTTCTGTATACGTCTTTAGTTAGAAACCACACAGGAGTAATTTTAAGAATCAGATGAGAATCGATTTATGCTTCTGTCAGCGAGAACTTGGGCCCCATGTTCCCCGGCCAAAGTCACTTCCAGATGGACTCCGAGAAGTACAGCTTCATTTTATCATTTTTTGAAACCTGGTATGACAGACCTTATCGCTAATCTTATCCACCTGAATCTTGCTCTCAAAGAGCATGTGCCTTCACTTATACTTCACAAATCACTACGAAAACAAACTGCAATAGTATCCTGGATGCCTTTGGAACAGTCCAGGAAACGTTCAGGTTTTTTTGGTGGGGTTTTGTTGTGGTGGTTTTTTGGTTTTGATTTTGTTTGGTTGGTTTTTTTTTTTTTTTTTTAAACTTTGTATCACAGAATATAGGGAAAGGGTATGAAGAAAAACTGGTGACATAAAATGCTCATAACTATTCAAAGTAAAAAATCTGCCTTTCAGGAAATTGTTAGTGTTTTTTGCCCCCGATTTGCATCTCAGTTCCCTCTAATTTCTCAATCTATTTTCTTCCTACCTGACTGACCATAACATACAACTTCTAGTCTGGACTTGGCACAAAATCCTATTCAAGAAGATTACATGCACTGACCCAGTCTCCAATTCACATCCAAGATCCCTAAACTTGCCCTTAATACTGTTTAATCTCAATTTTGTTGGTTGCCCAAATCCTCTCTATTATCTCTCTTAACTATTTCTTACCACACTCCTGCATTTCAATCTCCATAGAATTCTTTTGTGCATTTAACAAACATAATGGTGCAGACTCAAATTGTTAAATATATGTAGGAGAGGAGCAGTAGAGTGGCTGGGGGAGACACACATTCCCCCTACCTGAACAAAAACAGAACAAATGAAAAACAGCGAAACCTCAATTTGAGTTGCAGGACTGCCACTGAAAGCATATTGTTCAAAAATAATAGACCAAATTAAACCCTAGTGACTCTATAATATCTATAGTAACATCAACACAAAAGAATACTGCTTTTGACTTTCAGAATACACATTCAATTTACAAGTGGTTACTCAGAATAAATGTGCAGTTTATTAAGCATATTTGAATCTTTCAGTTGGACCAAACGTGTCTTAACAAAATGCGCTGCAAATAATTACTCATCTATTTTGTTTTCACCAACTATATTTACGGTATACTACATCTAAAGGCACTTTCTCATTAAAGCGTTAATAAAATTTATCAAAAAGTAACACCTTTACACAAATTTTCCTTGTTCAATTAAAAATGAACCTTCTTATATCACTGCTTCTAGATACAACCAAGAAACTTATAGTTGAGTCAACTACTTGTCATAACCAAAGTTTTCACCTCCTCTTTGTCTCATGAGTACCTTTAGAACTCACAGAAGCAGCACAGCATCTTTACTACAGTTAGATACATGCTAATTAACACCTAGCTTCAGGTATATCCAATTGCTTTGAATTTAAGGGAGGAAAATTCTACCTTTCAGAACTTCTGCGTTCATCTAACCTTAACATATGCCTATGTGAATAGGCCAACATGAAAAGAAATTTTTTAATTGTACCAACTCCCTGGGACAACTTCTAATTCCAGCACTTTCTCTAATTTTGGCATGGCATTGTAATGCATTGCATTTATCTCCTGCCCTAGCAAATTACTGTTTCATCTATAACATACACATGTCAGGGAGGAGTAATAACATGTCCACAACATGCACGCCCCCACACATATTAAACACACCAATAGAAAAATGATAAAATAATAATTCTCAGCATTCAACACACTGTCACAGTGACTTATTATGGGATCTGGAAGAGAAGAGGTTTTAGTTTTCCAAGGTATCATTTTCACTGGTAACACCTGTTTGCAAGTGAAAATAGTTCTGAATGACTCTAACACCATGCATGGGCACTTACTGCAGCACCGGAACATGCAGGTGTTTTGCTCAGTACAGACATGCAAACATAATTAAAAGCAGCATTCTAGCACAGACAAGGCAAAATTATTTGAGCTTTCTCTCTGAAGAGATACACCAAAATGCTCAGAAACATGTTCCTTTCACAGTATAACACCAATGAAAATAAATGGTACATTAGTCTGTGAGCTGAAACCAAATATGAAACATCCATCTCACATCTGCAGTGTATGAGCTCTTGAGGCAGAGTTTGTCCATAGCAGCTATGAAGTAAGAGCTACTAGGCTTGAACTCTATACTTTACACCAAAGTCTGGCAATTGGGAACTATTTAAATCTCTCCCTACAGTATCAGGGCATGTTTCCGAGTCTGCAATCTAAAACGTCTTTTTCCTCTCAATCTAACAATCAATGGTAAAGCAGTTGCTTTTTCACTTTGAATGAATATAAAAACTACACCACATGACTTCATTAAGAAAACACAAAAAGGATGCACATGTTTTTTAACTACACCACATGACTTCATTAAGAAACACAAAAAGGATGCACATTTTCTTTTATCAGATTAAAGCATCAGCCCAGTTTTCTGCATCTGGTCTTCAACTCCCCTTGGACAAACCAGAGGACAGAAGAGTTCACCATTAATTTCGCAGTAGCAAGCTGTGTGAGGTACATGCATGACTGAGGTGACGGAGGGAGGCAGAAAAGACATACTTATTGTAACACAAGGAAGATGCCAATGCAAAACATACCTGTCTTCAAGCAACATTCTTAGAGGACATTACACACATTTTGCTCAGGGTCATCTAATTATGGATATTTAGAATTTTCATGAAAGCTTCTGAAGACCACTTTCTTTAGAAGACATGCACATAAAATCTTAGTTGTTTACTCCAAAAAACTCCACGATCTTCCCTGCAAAGTCTGCTAGGGGTCAGAAATCTAGACTAATGTTCTTCCCTCCTACATCTTAAGAGGACTGCCAGAAACTGGTTCACATAATACAAAGCGTAATTTTAGCTAAAATGCAACTGAAATAAACCAGTGCCATCAAGGCAGAAATTCAAAGAATTAAATAACTAATTGTTAACACAGTTAACCATTGACAAAATGAATAAAACAAAGTACTACTTCACGCAGCCTTCCTGGGTTTGCACTATTAACATGATTAAAGACTTTCTCCAGGGAAGAAGTTGGGAGCAGTCTGTTAAAAAGGTAGCCTTTTTATTTAAGAGGAGACTTGTAAGAAGGACACTTACAGACACGCTGTTTAAGGCTACTGTTAAATCTAGTTTGGGGTTATTTTTAGGAGTAATAAACACCAGAAACTGTAATCACATAGAACCACCCTTGCCAGTATGAAATGAAGACAGTTGCTGGGAATTGAGGGGACTTAAAATGCAATGACTTCTCCTTCAGGCATCATTCACATCTGAAAAAGGTGCTGCTAGCCATGAAGAATCAAGAAACTTCAGTTTCAGGTGTGGGTTTGTTTGTTTGGTTTTTTTCAAACTGATCCAGATTCCAAATTTAACCCTTAGGCAAGAGTGTTAGACTGCACAGCCAGTACCACACAAAAGAAAGGAATCTAGTCAGGCTTCCTCATCCTGAGGAAGAAGTTTAAAAAGCGGAGTGAAAAAGAACAGTGCTAAAACTTGTTTGATTTCTAAGTTTAATTAATATTTTTACCAATGACCAATCAACTTCCAACCAATCTTTTAAAATATTTTCTATCTACCCACCTGTCCTCGTGCCAGCCATTGATTACAATCTCTCCAGTGAAAGAAAAGCACTGTCAAGCAAGAGATTCAGGTCATTACAGATATTTAATTGCCACCTAGATTTTGTCTATCAGAATTATCTTAAGCAGCCTAATGTCTGCTAGTTTTATTTTCCCATCCAATTTTTTTTCCCCCAATGTTGCTATCAGATACTCCTCCTTCATCTTTCAGAGTTCAGTAGAGTTAGATTCAATAAAAGAATATTACACACTGTATAACATCACATTTTTTTGAGTGAGTACAGTTTACAGCATTAGACCCTGATTGTATTAATAAGTTATGCAACATTTATTTCTCTTCATGCAAAGAGAGAGTGAGCCTTTCTTTCGTACATATCTGCTATTTTGCAGTATGTTCAGTTAGGTCATTATGAAAGTAAACATATTCCTCATACTAGCATCTACAGGAATAGTAAGGTGCATTTCATCTAATACCAAAACAGAGTATGAGACACTGAAAAGAATCTCAAATTTGATGTATCTATATACAAATATTTAATATTTTATCAGTATATTTTCCTGTTTGCCACCAATCAAACATGTCTTCGCGCGAGCAGTTTATTCTTATGAAACTATAAGAAGATTAAGCTCAGACAGGATTTAAGTGTTATGTATACTCTACCGCATCCTTGGCAGCAAGCCACAGTAATATTTTCCTATTACCAAATCAAGGTCACAGAGGCATGCCTTATTATATTACATTGTTTCAGCGAATACTGCATACAACTTCCACATCCTAAAAAGGTATACAGTAATACATTTCATAGGGGTATTATCCTTTAAGCTTATACACAAGAGCAGGAAAAAGTTCACGTTATTCAACTCTAGATACTTAAGTAAAGTGGCTGTGGGAGCTAACTAATCTCCTCCAGGGTTGCTCTACAACCAGTGGAGAAAAAACAGCTCCTTTAGAGAGCAATTCAGGACTTCAGCAGCTTTCATAACTCACTAAGAGCTGATCCACATGCAAAACAAAAACCAAACACAGACCATGAAGTGCGTCACTTGACTTTTCTCCTCTAATATTTACTACTGTTATAATTTTCAAATGAAACCAGAGCTGTGATGAAGGAAGAATGCAAGATAAACCCAAGCCCACGTACAGCTGAAATACTTGTAGTTGATGTAAAAGAGGTTCTTGAGAAACAAATTCAGCTCTTTGACAAGGGATAAAAGGGCTTTGAACAATAACTGAGAGAAAGCAACATTTAAAATGTAATCTCTCCAAGCTGAGTCCTTTGGGGTGCACATTCTTTGAAGCTAAGTAGTAAAGACCATTTCACACACAGACTGGGACTATACCAATTACAGTAAGTGATACTGCTTATTAAGAACAACAAAATCATTTGAATCTAACCTAGCTTACATTGGACACAAAGCTAGCATTCCCTTACATATCATTCCTCATTAACATCTCTCCAATTGAACTACCTTTTCAAGGTTAGCATTCCTCAGAGGAAGGAAACACACAAAACATTTGTCCTATTCAGAAGACATTCATAATCTCCCAAATAGCAATCTGTATGTGGTTCCTATTTTGTGAGCCATACCTCACAGCAAATAGTGTATTTAGGTTCTGTAAAGATCTGGATCTTAACTTCACATTCAAAGGGCACCTATTATTCATCTAAACTATTCCCGTATAACTAGCAACAAACATCTCAAATTACTTGCTTGTTACAAAGGTCAGCCTTCTCGTGGTATGAAGCTAACAGGCTCACAGTTTCCTAAATCTCTCTCCCAGTGTCCTCCATTCTTTAACGTATGTATTCTGTGTTTATTTTTCTCTAATCCTCCAATTCCAATCTGATAAATCAAAGTCCTTACTATTTGACTTTAACTCCCTATGCTTACTCTTTCCATTGAGAAAACAGTTGGATCCATAAAGAAAAACCCGAGAGCAAACAAATATATTTGCAGTGGGGACAGCTGTGGAAAGACCTAAAAGCAAATTACAAAATTAAATTACTTGAGAGTAGCAACATGCTCATTTTAAATAAATTTAAAACTCCTTATTCTCATGTACCCAAGTTCTCTTATTTAAATGAGCAGCTCATAAGGCTTGATGTAACTAAACCATAGCTGGCCTGCTTTATAAAATCATTCAGCCACGTTATTTTCGGCAATTTAAGCTATCCACGAGAAAGTAACAGCTATGGCTCACTTTGAAAGACAAAGCCCGATAAGAGTACTATAACAAGATACAGTCTTACAATCTGATTCTGAAGGACAAATTTTATACTGCCCCTCATTTACTTTAACAAAACCTTTTTACTTTCCTTACATTTAAGTGACCTTTTTAAGGTTATAATTACTGCCAATAAGATTGTGCACAGTTTTAAGTTTCCCAGAAATGAAACACTGTGTAAAATGAATGTATTTCTCAACTACACTGTACAAATTTGTGAGTCCTCAAGGTATAATTCCATCGCCTCTGGCTTCCCATACCTGAAAAAACTCTTAAACCGAGGTAAGAGATTTAAGGATAGAGCTGAAATATACTAGCAAGCACAGAAATTGGTAGGAAGTTTGGAAAACAGAAGAAAACCCTGAAGCTATTCCTGAAAATCTTAATTAAAATTGACTGGATTTCATCTCTGTGGTGCTCACCTTACAGTGGTCAGACATTCAGTGTTATCCTAACTTCTGATTGCTACTCTTATGACTCAAGAAGGCTAAAACTTTTCTGAACTGGTCTTTCAAAAGTGAAATTAGTCATTCACATCTGAATACAAGGCAAACATGAACAAAAAGTGTTCAGGTTTTTGAGTCATTATCATGTAGAAAAAATCAACACTTTTTAAAACATAAAAACCCCTAAGTAACTGAAATATAGCTTTGTTTATTAAGCTAAGTCCAGAAAAACTCTACTTTTCCCAAACTTTCTTAGTGTACGAGTAGACTAATTGAGGCAATGGTTCACTTCATGCTGCAGAGGCCTTCCATCTCAAAGTCTCAAGCTGACGAAAAAGATGCACAGAGCTCAGTAACGTAAGCCCTGGTATACAAAACTAAAATATAGCTCAAGACATAATAGATGAAAAAAATTCAAATAATCTCTAGATAAACATGCTATCTTCATCTGCCACAACTGCAATACTGAAGGTCAGGACCAACACTGGGGTCAAGAACCAACAGAAAGTACTTCACTTGAAGTAAGTAAATTGATCTTGAAAAATTACGTAGTACAGTTAAGTGGAACATTCTGATAACTAATGTTAAGTAGTGATAAGTAGTGATACTCAGTCATCTCTGCAGAAGTGATAGTAGTTTAGATGAAGAACTATCTTACAAAGAATTAAACCTTCATTAAAACAACTGTATTCTCATATTTTCCTCATTTTCCCTGTGCACCCATTCCTTTTAGAAGGAGGGAATGAATTAACAAAATTCACCTCCTGAACACTGGTCAGATTTTTTTACTACTTTGACTGTTGAAAGAAGACAGGAAGACTCCTGGAAAACATCATCCAGTAGAGGATCATTTTATTTTTTCCAGATTGCTTGTGCTAGGATCAGCACTAATAGCAACACAGAATATGCAGAAGGGAACTCTGCCAATTTGGGGGGGGGGCAGAGGGACACCAAGCCCACCTTCCTGAAGGTGGATAAACTTTGTTGAAGACAAAATGGTTAAAAGAAGAGCAGTTGAATATCAAGCAGACAAACTGTTAGCATTCCCCAAAAGAGATACTCCTAAGAAAGAATAATCCTTAATTTTTTTATTAAATTCCAAATTATTTATATAGCCAAAAATGATAGGGGAGCATTTGTAGGCTCTGAAGTCTGGAAACCTAATCACCATTGATAAGTATTATTGCTATGCAGAACCTTCAAGCAAGAAGAGTTGTTCCCCACTAGAGGTCAAATTGAAGAAAAACAAACCTTATTTGCTTTAATCCCCATACGTCCAACACCAAGGGGCAAGACCAAAGGAGGGGGAAAAAAGAGGAGGAAGTCTACCAAGTCTGCAGCTTTCATTACTACAC